TTTCATTAGTCATAAAAGTACAAACACACTTTGCACAATACACATGAAATATGCAATGAAGCCTACATCTCTTGGTATGACCCAAACATCCCAGTGAACAGGATGTTTCAATAATGTTCTTTACATTTTATAAATTTCATTTTTATTGTTAGACAAAACAGAAGTTAAGTTACAATTTGTCACTTATAATCCAATGCATATATTTCTTTCTAAAAAACAAACCTTTTGAATACAATTTTCTGACAAACTTAGATGCAATTTATAAAAATTACTATCTAATCATAAAAAAGCAATCTAAAATTTATTTATGATAATTCCCAGATATTTGTAAATACAAAAATAAAAAAATTTTGACTACAATAATTATGTAATTAAACAGAAACCAATTTTCTTAATTGTGTACATAAAAAATAAAAATGCCACATATTCTTGTAAAAGTTGAAACAGTAACAGAATTGCAACTTCTCTATCTAGAGAAAATGTGTATTTTTTAGTGAAAAGTTTGAAAACTACTTTAGGAAAAAACTGTAATAAACACAAATATTTCTCAGATTTGTGAGAGTTGACAGAATACAGTTAACTATTCTGCTGAACCTCAAAAATTTGTTAATCATCAAAATGAAGCATGACAATGTTTGTGTGAAGTGTTCCAGTAAATGTTGGCCATTTGTACAGAATAATGGATAGATGGAAGATTGCAATGTTGTGATATAAAATAAAAAGTGGCAAAATGTCCAAAAAATTGTTTGAATTTCCAGAGGAATCACTATATATGTAACATTGTACAATTGATCCATTTCTGTAAGATGTTGACAATAAACTATAATGGAAAACAGCTAGAGCAGTGTTTCTCAATGGTGGCGATATCGCCTCCATGTGGGCGTTTTTCCATGTTGAGGGAGCGATTAGTAACAATTTATATTTTGGGGGACAAAAAACAATTTTCTGGGCGATATAGTAAAACATTATATTAAGAATACTTGGATATTTTATTCGTTATATCGTACAATAATGAAACAAACAACATTATACTAGTCTATTCGATATACTACGAATTTGGCGTTAGCATTGTCCCTTGGCATCTGAATTTTGTAGTGAAGAGGGCGATATTACATAATGGTCTTATTGAAGGGGGCAATACTATGTTGGAGGGGGCAACAATTCATTAGAGGTTGAGAAACACTGAGCTAGAGCATTTTGAAAACAACTCTACAAAGAATTTTTGATGCAATCTAGAATAATGAATAAAAAAAAAACAACAAAAATATGTTTATCCAAAACATTACACTCAAAAAATAAAAGTGGGGTATGCTAACAGAAGACAGCCAAAAGTAGGACAAATGGGATCCTGCTGTTATTGTAATAACTTCATTAAATATAACAGAACTAGTATTTTTAGAAGTATACAAGACTGAATGAACTTGAAATTGCAAAATACTAGAATCTACTATGGTAACATACACTACTGAGTTGAATAATTGCACAATAAATGACAAATTCTAATACTAACACGGATAAAATTTTATTAGAAATAATAGTGTTTAAAAAGACTTTTTTTTGACACAGATTATGATGAGGTTTTTAATGTGATTTGGCAATTTATGACAGAATATGTTGGAATCACTGCCAAGTTTCTTAAAGACCTTGGTCTAAATAATTTATTGTTCAAAGTCAAATTTCCAATTAGGCTTAAATTTAACATTATATTGAATATAACTCAAAGTATTTATCAAATGTAAAAATTTTCAACCCTGTTACAATTACTTAAAGCTGTGCCAAGATTCCAATTTGAAAAAGATAATTCTGTTTAATTTCATTTATTGTTTTTTGCAAAGAAAACTAGAAATCAAAAACATGAATTTAATAAAATCTTACAGTAATAACTGAATAAATACAAATTGAAATATCTATTACGATTCGTTTCATTAAGGCAGTTCTTGCACTATCACTGAAAAAAGTTTTTCAAATTGCTTTTCTGACTTATTTGTATCTTTATTTTCAAAAGCAGATAATGTCAGTCTTTTTGCAAGTACAGAGGCTGCTATCATGGTTAAATATTTTTATCCATGTACAGTCAAGGAAAGACTCCTCATCTCAAATCAGAATTCCAGTGGATTTAAACAACTAGCAGAAACCTGTCAAAATTGACAGTTTTAGTCAATTAAAATACAATCAATGAGCTAATTTCAAATTTGGTGTTCTATTCAAAAATGACCATTTCTGGATCTGTATGCAGATAATTGGAATCTTCCTGTTCTCCAGTACCACGAGGTTTCTTTCAATTTTGCATCTGATCCTAAGGTTGCAATTTAGCATTCTTAAGACCAATTCAACTTCAACTTACAGTCTTAGATTAATCTGACGATAGTGGTGGCTTGCCTCATGGCAATCACTTTGTCATAGGCTTTGCAAATAAAACAGACCTACCAACAGTCAGATGTTCGAGTTTACTCTTCTTTTTGTGGTATATTTGTTGTGAAATCCATCAATAGGCATTAAGGCTGTGTACAAATTAGGCGTTTTCAAACGTGCGTTTTGGTAACGTGCATTTTAAAAAAACAGGAGTTCCACATACATATACACACTCAAATGGGCGTTGATAGATTTTGGTTAGAACATGCGTTTTGCGGGCATCAGCCACACACTTTGAGATACATGTGCTGCCATGTTGTTGTACATTCGATTGTGCACTTTCGGGTAAAGTAGACACACATTGGCTGAAATGGAGAACGATCATTTCGATACTGATCTAGTTATTGATGAAATCTAAAAGAGACCAGCCACCGTCAAATGATTTTATAGATATTCTAAAAGAATTAAAAAAACTTGAGTTCATATTGTCTTAGTTTTGGATACAACGTCACAAACATTCCATGCATCAGTCTATCTCATAATATTGGGTGCTTTCAAAATTCTCTTTGCTTCTGCCATCGTCTTTTATAGCGACGATGAAGGAGGCACACACAAGCAATTACTTTCACGTCCATTTCCAAACTGAGCCAGTGCTAACACTACACTAAAAAGTCGTCAAACGCTGACCGTTTAGCAGCATACACACTGAGCAAAACACGCGGTGTGTATGCTGCTAACACGCGTTTAACGCAATGCAAAACACCTAATGTATTTTGCATTGCATTAATAGCCTAAGTGATAAATTGGAGTGTAGAATCAACATGGAAAATGGTAAAATAAATTATTAGTTTTGTTGATATTGACAACAGCTTCAATTTATTAAAAAAACTTTTGATAGAACAGAAGTGCCCAACATGTTTGTCCCACAGACGTAACATTATACTTTTGCCACTCCACCACCTCCAAGCAATTGTGAATTTTTCATTTGCAATGGACTCATCTACAGGGTATGGGATTTATTTTGATATCTGTAAAACCATGTTTGTAACCTTTACCATTTTCTCAAACAAAGCTGGACAGTATTTGAGGCTTATCAAATTAATATATAAATACTTCCATTGGCCAAGTATACAGAGTTGTAACCCTCCTTTTTTATTTCTGACATGAGCTAGTTTTGTGTTGCTCCATACATCAAAAGATCTCTTCTTTTAGGCCTACAGCATTATTGAATCAATGGATAAAGTATCAGTCTGTATGATCCTTCTTATGTTTCAGATGGCAAGTTCTTGGGACATTGAAATGCAAGTTTTACTTTTAACAGCCAGGAAAGTAAAAACTTACATTTTGGATCTGACAGCAGTTAAAAACTTGCCTGTTTTTGGATCCAGCATGTTATAACAGCCAGATCCAGTTCTTACGTTAGGAAATATGACATCAATGTTGTATCACATGCCTCCAAAGTTCAATCCAAAAGAATGAAGTCCTTTGCCAGAAGGTTCTCAGGAAATATGTCAGATGTCACATGGCTTAAGCAATATTTCCAGGTAGTCACGCGATGGAGTGTAATCGAAGTGAGGTTACACAACATATTTTGCACACATCTGCCATCCAACATGCCGTTCCACTATGGACATAATCTTAAGCAAATATGTCTCAAGCAATCTTATGTTTTTCTTTTTGTTTATAGCACTTTTTACATGCATTGCCCCAAAAAATTATATCATCAAATATGCCCTTTATAAAAAAGAAAAAAAATCAAAAGAAAATGCATAATGGTAAGCTTCTACAATTTTCCCTAAATAATTTGTGGCAATATAAAATTTTAGACAATACCATGTAAAATACCATTGGCTGCATTCAGTAGACTCAGCAGTTGTAACTGAGCAAATTGGTAGCTGTTACGTAGCAACCTGAATCTTCCAAACGACAAATGACACTGCATTGGAATAAAAAGCCTCATTGGTCAGTTTCAGGTAGCGTAAATGAAAGATTATCAAATGTGACGTCAAAACACCAAACACGTTCCAAAAGAGCACTACCGTAGAGGGCATTCAGCAGAAAAATACTCAACAGCTCCAAAACTGTTGAGTCTGCTGATTATTATCTGCAATTATCTGAATTTTCTCAATACATAAACAAATATAACAAAAACACTGATTTCTTTAAAAAATTACTAAAAATATGTAAATAAATAAATAAAAGGTTAGACTGAAGCAAAAGCTATCCAGCTAAAAAAAACGTCTTAAACTTAATATTAACGAAGAGACAGATATATCTAGATGTAATAAAATCAATAAACCAAAGATTTATTTATAAAGAATAATGAAATATAAATCAGAATCAGGCAATAAAATTTATTACAGAAAAAAAATTAATATATTAAATAACAGGCTAATTTGCTAAATCATCAATAAATTTACTCAATCTTTTCTACAATTGCAATTTATAATATCCATTCTCATTATATTCTTATTTTTCTAATAATTTCAAAATCTTTTGAGTTCTGCCGGTAGTCATTGTTCTCGTGCGGTTGTTAGGCTTACAACATTTGAAAATGAAATATTAAATAAGAAAATTTTAAAAACTTTAACGTTATAAGTCTTTTCAACTGTAAATAAAACATATAAAAGTAACGGTGACATATCTACCTTGAAATCTTTATCGTCTAAACGCTAACAAATCTCCTTCTATAAACGAATATAAATGGCGTCAAAACAGCCTAGAAAACTGCAGCATTATGTGAGCGCGTTGCCAACTTTCGGATCAAGAATATATAAATAATTTATTATCACAAATTGTATTTTATTAATTTATTTTTTGTATTTACAAGAAGATAATTTTTAAATAAATTTTCCTTTATTTTGTGTACATTAAAAATAAAAATGTCTTAAAATTTTGATCAAGGAAAAAAACTTTTCGTATTCTTTTAGTAAAAACTGACTTTTGAAGGCCGAACGAGCGAGCGGTTAAAGTGACAGCCTGGGGACCGGGAAAAAACCGCAGGAATTTTTCGGGAATGATCTATCCCAGACAAAAACATACTACTACACCCAGGGCCGGATTAACCCACTTTGGGGCCCTAGACATTTTCTTCTTGCCTGGCTCCCTCCCTCTCCCACAAGAAATAGACTACACAAAAAATATAAAACAATAAATAAAACAAAACTAAATAATATAAAAAACTAAAACAAATCTTAAATTTTTATTAATAAAAAATATGTAATATACAACAATAAATTTTAGTTTTTCAAAATAGACAGTTTGACCGGGCCATTCTAAAAACCGGACCCTAGACATTTGTCTCATTTGTCTATGCCCCTGGTTCTTAACCTGTGGTCCGTGGACCACTGATGGTCTCTGAAAGAACCCGAAGTGGTCCGCGAAGTTATCCCAAAATTATTAAATAAATGACGACGAGTTAATGACAATGCGCAGTACGTCAAGGTTAGAGCCGATAGTGGACTGGGCTGGGGTATGGTGCACGGTCAGAAAATATGAAATTGGAAGGCACCAAGCAATAAATTTGCATTTGAAGATAAAATCAGTGCGTTTATCGCTAAAATCGACTTATGGATCAGCAAAGTCAAAAGAGAGAATTTTTCTGCGTTTGATACATTGAACCCAATTATTGATTGACAGCGTGCTGAGATTAACTCTTTCCGCTCTGTGGGCACTAAGAGGCTTCTTTTATCAAGGCCATCATTTGTTCGGCCTGGCCCACATTGGAGCAGCCGGATAGTAAAAGACGGAACTTGACATATCTGGATGGGCCATACCCGGAAAATTCCTGGGGATTTTTCGACCCGTCCGGATTTGATTCTGAGTCCCCCAGAGTGGTAGGCTGCCATCTTTACCGCTCGGCCATCCGGCCGTCTCTTATTAGCGGATAATGAGCCTGCTTTTCAAACCTGTCATGCCAGATCCACACCTGGGTGGTCTGGCATTGACAGCTCTTTTAGTGCTCACAGAGCGGAAAAAGTTAAAAAAAACCGCTGATAAGAAAGATGCAATCTACATATATATAAATGAATGTGTGTGTGTGTCTGTCTGTCCTTCATGCATTACCACACCGTTTATCCGATTGCCGTGAAACTTTGGGAAGTTGTTTAATATACTCCCGCAAAGGTTTCTGGCATAGTACGATTGCCATGAAGTTTTGGGAAATTTTTTAATACACTCCGTTTCTGGCATAGTACATTTATTCTATGATAGATGGCGCGATCCTACGATAGAGTGTATACGAGCATTTCGTCGTGAGATCGATGGATTTCAAATTGTGAAGACCATTACCTCCCTCCAAAAAATATCTCTATATATGCATTTGTGAACTGATATTTGTAATAATTTTTGTTTAATCACTTTATTTCAACTATTTTTTGCTAATTACGTATTCGATCGAACTTTGTTAAAACCTTGACTGTGTCCCGAACAACAACAGAAGTTGTAGGAGGAAATTCCCCTATTTTACCGATCTAGGGATCCCCCTTTTTCAAATTTTAATATCAACTCAAAATAATTTAAAAAGACAAATTACAATAAAACGGTTTATTATCCAACTATCAGAAATTTCACAACATGCCAAGGAAGAGAGGAAGGAGCAATTAAATAATTAAAATTATAAAGGATTTAAAAATATATATAAAAATGGGGAATATCGCACTTCTGACAATCGCTGCAAGTGTGTGGGCTAAATTTGGAGAATCCGTGCTTCTCGCATGGACAACTGTATGTGGCCAGCTCACGCGTCCGAAAACTTTCTGATTTATTCGTGTACGCACCAGACGGAAAAACAAAAAATATACTGTATCCACAAACACTCCAATAAATAAATAGAATTGAAACGACACTTTGAAATGTTTTTCCGATGAAAATAGATAATAATAATAAGTTTCAATAAAAATGATAAAATGTAAATTGAATTTTATCATAACGAGTTTGCTTGAATTTCCTTTCTTCTGAGATCGCAGCAATGCGCGACGGATAAGCTAGTACTCTATATTATAATAGTTCTTTTATTATACAAAAATGGATACATTCTCCGACCAAGGCATATTACACTTTGCCGACCAACAGTCAAATGTTCACTTGTAGCCATATTCAGTCACAAAGACGAAAAATTTCAACGAACCACAATTGAGGAGAGACGTGGAGAAAATGCCGGTTAAATCGGGTTTTAGATCCCGCGAAGTTTTCTCCCACATACAAGAACGAAGCTTGACGCTACTTATGACAGGATAACACAAATCGTTGTTCTAGATCTCTGATGATTTGATCGGATAATAGCTTCTTTTTAAATATACTGCAATATCTATTATATTTTATTGTTATACAGAGGGGATTTGCTAATAATGATTCAAATTCACGATCAGTTCTACTAGTCGAATAGGCCTATAAATAAAGTTTTGAAAACTGGTAGATGTCACTTTTCTTTGCATTCTAAGAATGTTTGAGCAAATAGCTTATACGACAATAGTGGAAACTCTCGTGAATTAGCATGTACCGTAGTGACGACAGCGCGAACTAATAACATCTAGCGGTTCGAGGAGAGCACTAACACCGCAGACTATGTAGTCTAACAAAACTTGCGAAAATGCAACAAAATAAATATTTTATTATCTCTTTATCTTTATTTTATGATCTTAAAACATTAATTATAATTTTATTTAGTAGAAAACGTGGACGGATAGTGATTTAAAGGAAGAAATAACAGCAACAAAACAAATCAAATGCATTGAGTCAGATTTTTAAAATTAAAATCTGAGGTTTTAATTTAATTTTATTAAATTGAAACAATTTTTTAAAATAAAACATTTTTACATTAAATAATTGTAATAATAATTACATTAATAATTGTATGCACATAATTACATTAAATAAGTGTTCAATGTAAAAATTACATTTTTACATTGAACACTAAAATGTATTATGTGCATAGTTTGATCATACAGGTGATGGATAATACAGTTATTACATATGTGAAATCTTTATTTTAGCATTTTTTGTTCTCAAATAACTTTCAGATGAATCATTACTTTCGTCACATATGCTTTAATAAGGACTTTGAAATATTTACCTGCCAATAATTTAATACAATTGTCACAAACACCTTTAATATTTTCATTCAGAAATAATTAATTAAATTAGTTTTAATTCCATATGGGCTCTGTAACAAAAAACTGTTTTGAAATATTGCTGATATTTCTGAAGATAATCTTTTTCCGTAAAATGGTCGGAACACACGACATAATTTCTATTTAAATATTCTGGCTCTTTCGTTTTCAAAATCTAGTTTTAATTCCATATGGGCTCTGTAACAAAAATATAGACTATTAAAATTGTTTTGAAATAATGCTGATATTTCTGAAGATAATCTTTTCCCGTAAAATGGTCGGAACACACGATATAATTTCTATTTAAATATTCTGGCTCTTTCGTTTTCAAAATCTTGTCTAAATCGGACCTTCTGCTCCTAATAACCCACTGAGTGCATCTGAAAATCAATATAAACACATACGTTGAATGATAACAATATTTTAAAGGAGGAATGTTGATATAAATGAAAACAATCTAATTGCTTATTAATTCACTTACACTTGTTTGTTTTTAGGGAATCTGTACAACGACTTGCGATCACTTTGCATCTTATAATTAAAGCAGCTATATATAGCGCAAATAACCCGTCTTCCGGCCATTCTAATTATTGTGAGTAATAAAAATGTTCAAAACTTTATATTAATACTCAAAAATGCCTTTCTTTCTCCTTATTGTTTGATATGGAGACTATAGCTTTTAGCTTTTTCTCCGAAGCGCACTACTTAGCTATTACGCGAAGCAGTTAGTACGATATACAAATCGTTCCAAGACTTCCATATGTTGACGAGGAGGGAGGTCGGCTCGTGGCCAATATATAGGTGTTAAAGTTCGGACGATAGTGAGATCCAAGGTCAGGGAACGACCCAACTCTTGGCGGGCCCCCGCATACTGCGGGTAAACTAGCCAATAATGAAAAAATGTTTCTGGTGAGCCACAGTGGGAACAATCAGGCAAGACGCACAGGTGTCGTGAGTAAACGAACCCGTTCAACGGGGCCGTATCAGTTCGAAGACGCGCCAATAGAGTTTCAGTGTGACGTGACAATGCGTGTTGATAGATCCAAGATGAGGAAGGTCAGAGATGGTTGCGACCTTTTCTCTGGAGAATAGTGGACCAGGTGTCAGTGTAAGAGCGAGTAATCGATTCCCAGAAATTACGGATGAGGTCATGTGCCATGAGAGGCCGCCACCAGAAACCGGTGAGAATGTCATTGCTAGCTGTCGCTCAGACAATGACAATTTATTGACATGTTTCGTGAAAGAAACTAAGCAAGGAAATCAGTCATAATTAACAAATAACACTCTATTCTATTGGGGTTTCAAAAAATAATTTTTCATAACGTAGTTTATTAATTTTTACAAAGAAAAAACTAAACGGATAAAAAATAAACAAATTAAATACAATATACAGTTGTCCCTTGATAATCCGACAGGTATGGGACCAAAGGTGTGTCAGATTACCAAAAGTGTCCGGATTACCGAAAATAATTACATATTTCGCATTGTTTTGCTAGCAGTAACTTACAATATTCTCTACTCCAACTGTTCGAACAGAACTGCTCACATAAAACACACGAAATGTGTGTCATCGAGTAAGAATTGGATGGGGAGATTCACGTCGCGACATGCTTCTGTGCAAGAAGACACGTAACGGGGACGGGTACCTTAACGGGAGGT